AATTTTCACCCAAATCACAATAAAAATAAAAAAAAAAAAAAGAATCAGTTTATTGTTGATAGGAAATTATTTTTCTAAGCTCCTTGTTTATGGAGAGGCAGAGCTATGGACACTGCAAAAAGACCTACCCAGCCAAAGCCAGAAGCTTGTTTAGCAAAGACCACAACCACACCCTACACAAGGAGGTCAAACATGCCACACATATTAATAATGAAAGACCAGTCTTTACCCATATCAAAGCCAAAAAAAAAAAAAAAAAAGGGCAGAATTACAGATCCTGACAATGACTTGAATCTGAAGCATGTCGGTATGTCAGTATTTGAAATCAGTCCATTAGAAAAAGTCTGAGGTTGATACTAAACCTAGATTGGACCGTGCAGGGTTTAACAGTCACTCACTCTTTGGAGAAAGCCAGAGGCCTTCCATGCATCACAGGCATAAACGGTGGAGCGCCAGGGCCAAAACAGAGGGACTTTGTCCCATAAAGGTGGTCAAGGCAGTTTATACCATGTCACTTCTGCCACCCAAGGAACAAATGGACTTAGGACCATCTTCTGGAACCCATCAGCATATGGTGCAGAAGCTTCTGCCCCTAGCCAGGACATGATCTGCTGGGCAGAAGGCAGCAGAAAGGGTATCTGGGTGGCAGAGGAGGTCCAACCGCAGGGCCCAGAGCATTCCTCCAATCTGAGGCTGCTGACGATAAAACCCAAGCCGTGCTCACATCCTCCTTTTCATAAAGAAATTGCCTCAATCATGTTCCACTTGGGAGGTCGCATAAAGACTTTGATCTTAAACATGGTGAAGTAACAAGGTTCCACGGGTGGCAGTAGCCTCCCTCCCAGGACATGCCTGAATCCTAGGCTGGTCAGCAAAGGCCAATGAGAGTGAGGGCTACTGAGGCGTTTCCCCACTGGGGGCAAGCTGAGGTCACTTGGTTGTGACTGCAAACAGTTCAAATTCCATGAATGACAATTACTCGCCAATTAATGTTTGGAATGGAAGCCCACACCATCCCAGCCCAATGGCCACCTTTCAGGATCCTCCACCCAGTGATGTGGCTTGGGGCAGGTGGCCAGCAAACAAAATCTTCTCCAGCCTCTTAGCTGCCACCATAAGTTTCAACACAAAATCAGGAGAGCAGAACAAATATTCTCTTAACCAATGACTCACCAGGAAGTCTGTTCATGTTGACACCTTGAGCTGAGAGTCCTATTCCCATGTACCTTCAAAAAAGCACACACACACAAAATTTTTTTTTTAGTTAGCAAATATTATGTACCTCCCTTCTCAAAAAACAGAAAAAGAAAAACTGTGGAGATGCTTTCAGCATTAGTGGTTCTTGGAGAGTCTTTACATTTTGATTTTCTAATGGAAAGCACCTCAATGCCTTAAGCAGCCAGAAAAACAGGAGGCAGTGCCTGTAACCATGAACCACTGGCTACAGTTTCAGAGGAAAGTTTCCTGAAGTCCCTGCTTCCAGTTCCTTGGTTTTCTGGCTCCAGATAAAAACCAAAACCAAACTCACTGCTGTAGAGTCCAATCTGACTCATAGTGAGCCCTCCTTGGGTTTCCGAGGCGGTGTCACTACAGAAGTTGATTGCCAAACCTTCTTCCAAGGAGTGGCTGATGGGTTTGAACTGCCAGCCTTCTAGTTAGCAGTCAAATGCCTTAGGCACTACGCCACCAGAGCTATAAGGCACTAGAATCTATTCTCAAGAGGTACCTAAAGTAAGCCACTTGATCCTAGGTAGCACTTGCCAGAACAATGCAGGACCACACCCACAGAAACAAGCCACTGTACAGCAAAGATCAGGACGTGGAAAAGGTGCAGCCAGGCTGGATGTGCATGGGACCAAGACCCCCAGCTTCCTCTCTAGGTGCCTCAAAACTCACTGCCCTCCCCCCATACATCCACCACTGGCTTCCTAGACCATCCAAAGCTGGTGGTTAGTTAGTGTGTGAGACCCGAGAGTCCCTTCCCCACCCAGATGCCTAAAGAACTAAGTCAGCCACAGCAACATGAGGCCTAAGCTGCAACAACTCTATCAGAGATGTTTTAGGCGCACTCATGAGGGGGCAGGTCAGAAAAGGAAATGAACATTATTTTTAGTCTAAATGTTTGTAGTATACAACGAAATAGTGAGGTATTTCCCCAAGAACTTAGAAATAAGAGAAATAAGTCATCACCTCCTAAGAGTAAAGTAGCAGAAACCCACACACAATGGTGATATTAACCACATATAGTGTCAACAGGTAGTTAAAGTTCCCAGAATACTCAAAACATCAACCAAGAGAGCTGAGGTGTAACCTCAAGAAAGTGACTTCTGAGTGTGATGCCACGGTAAGTATGAGCCTGGCCCATAGTAACTGACTCTATCTAAAGTAAGACCCAGGCCAACAAGTCTAAGTGACAGTGTACAGAACAGAAAAGGGCTAGATGTGGACAGTACTGTCCCAGGGGCATGAGACCCTGAACCTGCCCTGTACTCACCACAGCCTGGAAGGAATGAACCACTGACAACTTCCCAAACTTCCCCTGTTCCCACTGTGGGCTCTTCAACCCATTTTCTTACAATTAAAGCAATGCAAAAAGGGTGTACTAGAGACACCAGACAGAAGCAAGGTTCACCGTCCCCTGTGGGGGCCAGTCCCTTGCACCCAGCAGCTCTGGTCAGGTTGAAGCCTCAACCCTGAGCAGAGGTCAAGAGGCAGCCAGTCATTCTTAAGACGATGGTCCCTATGCAGTGGGAAGCCCTTCCTCTCAAAGGGCAACACACACATCCACACACACACAGAGGATCCTGAAGTTCTGACAAATGAAGCACCCACTGCCAATCCCTGAAGCAGGAATCAAGCTGGGCTGTCTCTCCTCTATGTGAACCTGCCCCAGACAAAAGAGCACCCCAGGCTCTTGAGCCTGGGTTATCTGCAGGCACCCTCACCATTAGCATTAGAGCCCCACAAGGGTTGGAACTTGGGTGGCATATCTTGCATCCCTCACCCTGAGCATAGCTCCTGACAGACACAGAGGCCCAAGCTCAGTGTTTGCCGAGCCCACTATCGGAAGGCAAGACCACTATCGGAAGGTCACTATTTATACTGATTTATTTCACAGATAGGTAGCAAATTTCTGACAGACTGGGTTCAGATCGTTAAAGGGTAATAATGTCAATCTAAAGACCAGAGAACACAGAATGAATGGTTTCAGCTTTGTCTTCCCAATCTCACCTTCCTGTGACAAAATGCCACTGAAAACAGCAAGCAAGCTTAAGATAAATCATTTCCCTAAGGAAGACACATAAACATCCAAAATCTGACAGTAATGCAGTATCAAACATCTATTTTGAATCAGTCACCTTGTCAACTCTTCATCTAGTCTTTTAAAATCGCCATCACAACTGGTGAGGCACAAGTCAGGAACTCAATCCTGTGTGACTTCTCAGGGGACAGGCTTTGTTGTGCCAGCTCTATCTGTACCCAAGTCTTGCGGGCCCTTGTAGCACATAAATTATATCATCAGTACTAGCTGCTACCGAGTGTCACATGGACGTCAGTGAAGAAGCTTCCAGAGCAGACCAGTGAGGCTGCCCAAGATACAGAGGGAGGAAGGGGACTTGGCATCAGCCAAGTGCTGGGTGAGGTCACGTGTTCTTCTGGGACCTTTACACACGTTGTTATTTCACAGAGAATGTTTCCAGAAGAAGAGGATAGGAGTCACAGATCAAGGGCACTTTGTGTACAGCAGAGCCCCATCTCTATGCTTCCAATTTAGACCCACTTCTAACAAGCTTGTTGTTGTTGTTACGTGCTGTCGAGTCAGCCCCGACTCATAGCAACCCCTCCTTGGGTTTCAGAGGTGTTATCACTATGGAAGTAGACTGCCCCATCTTCCTTCCGTCTAACAAGCTTAGGAGTGTTGAAAAGCTGGTGGTTCAAGTCCACCCAGAGGCATCTTAGAAGGAAGGACTGGCAATCTATTTCTGAAAAACCCGCCACTGAAAACTCTATGGAGCATAGTTCTATGCTGACACAACATGGGCTCACCATGAGTCAGAACCAACTTGACAGCAACTGGTTCTAACAAGCCTGGCTATCTGGTTTCCCAGCCCTTTCCAGATTAGAAGCGGTGAACTGGGGCACAGCCAAGGCAAGCCCACTGTCGGAAGGCAGGAGAGCAAGCCAGGAGCCTCCCAGCCACCAAGGACCCAAGAGAAACAAGAGTGTCCTGTTCTGATATTTTATAGAATTTTTCTATTATGCACAAAAATATCAAAAACCTTGGAAAACAGAAAAAAAAAACCTCATCACAATTAACAATTTTACAACTGTTTCATTAAGGTATGAATTTGGGAGAGCTAGAAAAAAATAATAGTAATTTAGCATTTAGATTATAGTTTGGCAAAAAAAAAAAAAACACCCTGAATATACCATGGACCACCAGAAGAATGAACAAATCTATCTTGAAAGAAGTATAGCCAGAATACTCCTTAGAAGTAAGGATGGCTTCGTGTCATGTACTTTGCACATGTCATCAGGAGGGACCAGTCCCTAGAGAAGGACATCATCCTTGGTAAAGCAGAAGGTCAGCAAAAAGAGAGGAAGACCCTCAAGGAGACAGACGGACACAATGGTTGTAAGAATGGGGTCAAACACAGCACTGACTGTGAGAATGGAGCAAGACTGGGCGGTATGTCATTCTGTGGTCCATAAGGTCACTATGAGTCGGAAGTGACTCAATGACACCTAACAACAACACACTCGCCCTACTCCCCGCACCACCACCTATCATTACATAAGCATTCCCCAACCTTCTACATGGTCTTCAGAGCCTTTATTTCAAATGCTGCTGTTGTTGTTAGACGCCATTCCACTCAAAAGCAATTAAGGAACCCTGATGGTGCAACAGTTAAGCACTCGGCTGCTAACTGAAAGGCTGGCAGTTAGAACCCACCCCGCAGCTCTGTGTGAGAGAGAGCTGAAGATCTGCTCTCATCAAGATGACAGCCTAGGAAACACCAGCAGTTTGACGGTTACATAGGGCTGTTCTGAGTGGAAACAGACACAAGGCCATCTAACAACAACAACAACTAAAGCAAGCACACAGAGTTGCCTTAAGGCAACTACTTCTAAGTGGCTGTACATCTGCATTCTCATTGTTTCCTGTTGTAAGCAATTCTGCAAGGATTTTTCCACATATGTTTCCCCATCTTGGACTATTTCTTTCCTCCCTCAGCAAGCTGTGTGCACCCGTGCACCTCTTTCCTTACACTACCAGGGTCTCTGCCACACAATTATGGCTCTGCCCCTGCCAGCAATCAGGGAGGGGAAAGGCTCTGACCAACCCACCTTGCTCTGAAACCAGCTATCCCATCACACTGGGCAGGAGCCAGGAAAAAGATGGCAAACACACATGGCCTTGAGAACTTGGCCCATAAGGATCAGGGACTGGAAAAGGGAGGAGAGAGGAAAGGGAAGGAAAAGACAAAAGGAGAAAGGAAAAAGAACAGCACTTCAAAGAGGGAGTTCCATGATTCAAAGGGAACTTGTCTTCTGCTTTGTTCTGGGACACAGAGCTGGGTCTTTAAAGGTCAAAGGTGTGGACCAATACAGCCTGCAGCTTGACAAAACAACTCAATCCTTCCTAAGGACACCAAACTGCCTACCACCTCCTGCCAAAATGGGCCAGTGTCAAAAATCATCAGAGCTGAGCTGTGTAAGCCTACTGGCAGGCGTCCATTAGATTAAAGCTTGTACGTTTACCCAGAAAAACAACAGCCCAAATAACTGGCTTCCTGACTACATGGTAGAGGCTGTCAAAAGCCAGTCTCCCTACATTCAAGGACTAGGTTGACCAAGCAGTAAACTGCCCCAACCACCCTGCAGTCAGTCACCAACCCAATGTGCAAAAGTGGGTTTCCCTGCCTTGGATACCAGCCCACTCATCTGGTCCTGTTCACAAGGGTCTGAGCCTCTGCCCAGCACCACACATGGTCCCAACCCTGGCACAAGGGTTTCCTGACACACAAATGGGGAAAAGGCTGCTTACCAGGAGCAGTGCAAGCACTAACTTCGAGGACAGTTTCTGGTAATACATGAAGGTGAAGTGTCTGAAGGATTCAGAGACTAGGACCTCTCAGCCCCAAAGCACAAACCCGTTTTAACCCTCCTGAAGCTCCCAACCCAGCACCTAGCAAATGGCAGGCACACTTAAGTCTGGCAACCA